GTCCTGCCCATGACTTGGTGTGTGCAGCCCACTGCCCGCCAGCCTCCAACCAACTTGCTGGGCCCTGTCTGGGGCTGAGAAGTCAAACTAGGCACCTCGCCTTCCCAGGGCCAGGTGCCCCAACGCCTGACGGATGGGCAACACCCAGGACTTGAGGTACCTGATCAGGGGCGGGTGAGAGGCTCACCTCTCCGAATCGCCCCTGAACATGCCATGGCGCTGCCAGCCTGGGCAGACAGTTGCTACCGTGCCCTGACCCTTCCCATTCCCTCCCATACCCACTGCCAGGTCCCCACTAGAGGCAGAGGGCAGCATTGGTCACTGGGTGGGGTGGATCCCCAGGGTGCCAGGGATGGGGGAGCAGGTGACCTAAGACTTGTCCTGGGGCAGCAGTGGGAGGTGGGACTTCACGAGCTGAGCTCTGAGCCCCAGAACACGTTCCAGTCATCTCATCGGACGTCACACACAAAACAAGTTCAAAGAGAATCTCAGGATGGCGCCAGCAGAGCAGTAGACCCCAAGCACGGGACCCTGTGTGAGGAGTCTTTCCATGTGCTTGTTTGCCAGCTTCATCTTGTCGTTCGTGAAACGTCTGCTCACGTGTTTTGTTCATTTTCTAATTGGGTGTTTTTTACACTTGAGTTCTTTAGATAATGTAGATACTAGTCCTTTGTCAGAGAATGTGGTTTGCAAATATGTTCTCCCAGTTTTTTTATCCTCTTAACAGTCTTTAGCAAACTTTTTTCCTAGCGATGAAGTTTGACTTAACGATTTTTTAGTTTGTGGATCGTGGTGTTGGTGTCACCTAGCCCTGGGTCCCGAACATTTTCTCCTAGAACTTTCATACTTGTGTGTTTTACATTTAAATCTGTGACCCAGTTTGAGTTAATCTTTGAATAAGGAGTGAAGTTTAAGGCCAAGGTCATTCTTTTGCGTATGGATGTCAATTGCTCCGGCACCATTTGTTGGAATCCTTCTCCACTGAACTGCACCTTGATTAAAAATCAGCTGCTGGAGTTGTGTGGGAAGCCAGGGGTATCTGAGGCAGTTACTGATATGGTTGGGTTTAGGTCTCTCATCTTCGTATTTGTTTTCTAGTTTTTATTTATGATTTGTTCTTCCTTTTCTGCCTCCTTCTGGGTGGATCTCAGGAATCTGAGTTTGAACCTCTAGGGGGGAAGAGGCAGAATTCAGGGTGGGACATGTTGGATGGTTAAAGTTTAACTTTTAAACCACGGGTCAGGCAACCACAGCAGTGTCGCTGGAGACCACAGGTGGGCTGCCCACTCTTTGAAGGAAGTGGCATTGCTAGAAAACCATTTTCCAAACTCCCACTCTTTTATGGTTGGAAATGAAAAACTAAGGCAGATTTCCCAAACATCTGGCACCAAGTTCCCCTTTAACATAAATCCCAATGCCCTGAATGGGGTGGTGACTCAGCACAGCCAGGGTGGGGGCTGGTGGTGTGTGCCAGGCACAGCTGCTTCTCCCCTCTCTCCGGACAGAAAACACTGACCATCAACGCAAACGGGTCCCTCCTGTGCCACTATTCATTCAGGTCTGGACCAGGCACCAACGGTTCTGGCGACTGGGCTGGGTCAGCAGGGCCTCCGGGGCAGGCAGCTGCGCGGCGTGGCCCTGTGCTGCAGGCACCCCAGCACTCTCCCTGCTCGGCTCTCTCTGGCAGCCACCTTGGACCTGTGACCCAGAGGGCCTGGCTAAGGGGGTTGACCTGGGGGGTGGCAGGTGGAATGTCAGGGTTCTGGGCACTCATCCTTGTAGAGCAGTGACAGAGAGCAAGATCACAGGTCTGTCCAGGCCATTTTATTTAGTAAAATTTTACAAAAATTAGTGGTAGCTGGTCGTGGGCACCAGGAGAGAAGGGGCTCCTTGGCAAGGCACCCTCAAGACCCCCAAGAGCTCAGACCGATGAGTGCCGAGGGGTGCGAAGCAGCCGGTGCAGGACCCCGCCAGGCAGAAAAAACCCACCTGGAGCTGCGAGCAGAGGCCCCATGAGAGTGAGAGGCAGATGCCACCCTGGGGGACAGACCCGAGCATGCCACTGTGATCCTGGCTGGTGCTACGTGGAAAGGGAAACACTCGGGGCTCTGAGCTCACTGACCAGCTGTCTCCCCTGACGTTCACTGCCCTTCCCTCCTTCTGGCCCTCACGGGAGCCAACCGAGACAAGTGGTGCCCCAAAGGGACCCCGGGGCAGTTGAGGCCTGGGATCTGTTGTTGCAGGGTGCAGGCAATGCTGACACTGGGCAGAAGGCCCCCGGCCAACACCCAGCGCCCCCACACTCCCCCCAGGCGATGCACGGATAGCGGCTCTGTCCTGACAGGACCCATGGGCCTGGTACCCTGGGATGCTGACGTGGCTTTGTAATGGTCCTCAGGAGACATGAAGCCCTTCTGTGCTCAGCACACGTCGCTCTTGAATAGCATCCTCGCGAGGCTGCGTGGCGTGAACAGCCTCTTTCCCCTCGGCATTGTGAGGTACCGTGCGTGTCCAGGGACAGGGCTTTTCTTCAGAAAAAGGCTGTATGCGCTCAGGCCCCCCTGTCTGCCGCTGGGGCTCCCGGAGAGCTGAGGATTAAGAAAGGACAGCAGTCAGACCCAACGCACCCAGATGGACCCCCAGGCAGAGCCCGAGAACCCCACCCAGGGGAACGTTGGCCCCTGTGCCCCAAGGTCCTCAGGACCCCCCTCGCCAGTCCTGGCCAGGCCTCTGGTTTCTCCCCGTGACTGGGGGCCCAGGCCTGCAGCCACGCTGGCCCCGACCTGCCTATCCTTGTCATGCCCGTGTGTCTGCTAAGTGACCGCAGGTGAACCCTCCCCAGTGCTTGGCGTCTGTGGATGACGCTGCTCTGATGTCTTCTGTCTGTCTTGTTGCTCTAAGACGACCTGCACTGTCTCCTCCTGCCTGTGGTGTTGTCCTAAGAGCAGAATGGCACAGAGCTCTGGGCACCTGGGAGGGCCCACCCTGGTGTCCCGGGGCCCACAGCTGCAGCTTCACTGTGCTCCTTGGCTTCTGCCCTGTTTGCAGCCAGCAGCCCGCTCGTACCACACCACTCAGAATGGGCCGTGTCTGCTCGCCTCCCTCTCACTGAGGGCCACTCTCGCCTCAGGGGTGGGGTGCAAAGGTGTGGCCCTCACTGTCCCAGCTCAGGTCCTCGGCACTTCTCAGGGGGCCGCTGGGCAGCTGCCTCGTGCCTGTTCCCACACTCCCTACGTGGTGACCGTCAGCCAAAGCCAGCTCCTGAGCATGTGGAACGGCCTCCCTGGACTCGAGGTCTTGGGTGTGGGGTGCTCAGGGGGCCTCTGGCCTCCAGGGTGTACAGCATGAGGGTGAAGCCGAGTTAGACCTGGGGTGTCTGCAGGCTGTGTCCTGGCCCTCGCTAGGCAGCCTGGCCCCAGTGTGTGTGGGGTTGTGGCCGGACTCCCCCGGGGCTTCCTCACCCTGGTCTGAATCAGGGCACTGCAGGGGTTCCAACGGCGGCTGCTGCCATCCAGGGGCTCCTCGGGTTCCGTAAGGGCAGGGACTTCCAAGCCAGGGCCCCCGCCCCCCAAGAGTCTCTGGGAAAGAAACACAGTCACACACCTGCCGGCTGACTTAGAAGTGAGGGTTAGGGTTCTCAGGCTGAAGGTGGACCCCAGGATCGTCCCCCGCTTCCCGAGCCCCACTACTAGACAGCAGTCACTGGTAAGCACCCCGGCTCCTCTGGGGATCCAGGTCTCCGTCCCATCGCCCCCTCGGCCCTGCGCTCACCGTGCTCCCCTGTTCCGCCCCCCATCACTGCCCTCCTTCACACCGGACACCCCTGTCATGGCAACGGAAAGGTCTTGGCTGCACCTCCAGGATCAGTCCTGCCCCGTCCACCTGGAGCTGACCCCTCCCTGAACCCCGGCTGTCTTCGTTGCTCGAGCTGAGGCTCAGGGACACCCCACGGGAGCGCTCTTCCCCTCCGCCCTCACTGCTCCCAGACGGCCAGTTCAGCCCAAGGGCCCCCGCTGGGGTGGCAGGGCAGAGCCCCAGGAACACTGAGTCCTCACACGCCTGCTCCCCAGCCACCGCAGCCACACCGACCGCCCACCTCCCTCAGCGGACCTCGCATTGGGAGAGAGACGCCCTGCCCTCCGGCTCCACAGCCTTCTTGGCCCTACTCGGCCCCGGCCCCGCCCCTGCTCGGCTCCAGCCCCGCCCCTGCTCGGCCTGCGCCTCAGGACCGGCCCCCGTCTCCTAGTCACCTCTCTCACACGTTAGGGATCCCTCCTGGGGCCCTGACAGGTCTGGGGGCCTCGTGCTTCACCCCTGCCGACACCTGGGTGAGCCCCAAGCCCCCACCTGCACCACGTCGTGGCCACGTACCAGCCCCCCCCAGGGCACGTCCACCGCGGCCCCCAGCGCCGCAGTCTCCCCCACGGAGCTGTGCGCCCCCCCCGCGGGCCCCGCCCCCCATGCACCACCCCGACCCGCCACTGCCTCGCCGGCTCCCCACGCACCCCGTCTCCTGATTCTGAGCCTTTACACTCTCGGGGGGAGGGAGTCACCCCCCCCCGCCCCGTAGGAGGACCTCCCGGAGCCCCCACGTCCTGTGAGCCCGCAGGGTCCCGGGAGCCCAGCCTCAACACAAGTACCTTCTGAGCAGCGTCTATTCCGAGAACAAGAAAGAAGTTCTCCCGGCAGCGAGACTCGTTCCAGAGGCCTCGTGAAGTGGACAAGTTGGGGGTGTTCTGAAGAGCTCGCCAGAGTTTTCTAGACTCGGGGCTGGAAACACAGTAAAATTAAACGTTATGACCGGGCACGGTCCGCTCGGAACCCAGTGTAGCAGCGCCTCGCGAGCGGCCAGGGGGAGTTCAGACGTCAGCGCCCTTCCTGCTGAGCACCCCGCTTTCTCCTGCACACTTCCTGCTGAGCACCCCACTTTCTCCTGCACACTTCCTGCTGAGCACCTCTCTTTCTCCTGCACACTTCCTACTGAGCACCGGCTTTCTCCTGTATACCCGGATCCCAGACCCTCTCACTGCCTCACAGAGGACCAGCACCTCCTCCCCACTCCCCGCTCTCCACAAGATGCTCCGCTGGAGGCGGTCATTTATTATCATCATTGCCGGTCTCCTCGAGGAGCATCAGCCCCGTGAGGCCCGGCATGCAGCCGCTGGTCATGGTGTACCTAGCACCGTGCTGGGCACGGGTCTGTTCTGTGCCGGACACCACTGCTAGGTGCGGAGGGGGGTTGTGAGGGGATGGAGAGAGGGTGGGTTGGCCTGAGGGAGGCCCCTCCAGTGGGAAAGAAAGGCAGTTGTGCAGATGACCCCCTGGGAGACAGGCAGGAGAGTCCCGTGCCAGCGTGAGCCGACACAGACCCATCCCCTGAGGACGGCGCCATGGCCGCCCATGCCTCTGGGCCCCCAGGCCGAGGCTGCTGAGACCCGTGCTGCTGGGCCGCGGCCTGCAGCCCCTCGCCAGGGTGTGCCCCGCCTGGCTCTCCGACTAAGTCCAGTCTGTTCAGGCCTGGGCAGTCCCCCAGCAGAGCCTGCTGAGAAAACAGGGCGGCCAGTGCCCACCACCTTGCTCTCCCTCCCTCTAGCCTTATCTGGAGCTGCTTCTCACCTACAGCCACATGTGCCCACAGCTGCCCGTGCTTCTTTGAGCACTTAGGGGAAAGTGTGGACTCAGGAAACGGCCCTCTACAAACAGCTGTGTCTGTGACACACCCCGCCACCCGTGGCTGTGCCTCTCCGGCAGCCCCAGGAGCACAGGCTGACCCTGGGGCCTGAGAAGGTCCCCCAGGACGCTGGGGTGTCCTCCGCTGCTGCAGGGCTATTCTGACTGTGGCCGAGGGTCACTGAGGCTGCTGACCAACTTGGCCAGGCCCCCGGGGCCCCCGGCCCACCATTCAGGCCCACGGGGTCTTTCTGCCTCGCCAGCCCTCCCCTCAAGATGCAGCAGAGGCACACAGAGCTGACACTCAGGCCAGTCTGCCCCGGGGGGAGGGGCCGGTGCTGCCAGGTCCCTAGGGACGCTGCGAGGTGACAAGGGCAGGGCCAGGGGGACAGCGCCATCTACAGAAGGAAGACCACCTGCCTTGGCATCAGCTGACCAACCCCAGTCTGAACGAAGAGCTACCGTCAGGGACATCTGTTCCAATCAGGGCTCATTACCAGAATGGCTCATGTGTGGGTCCAAGGCCAGCTGTCTCTTCACTGCTCATTTCTAAACAACGGTCTAAGGTGGAAACATCTTCACGGGCTGGCTGCACGGGTATTTCTTGAAACGCAAACTTAAAAATTTTCTCGTAGCTGAGAATGGGCTGGAATAAAAAGAAAAACAGCCCAGAGTTAGAAGAAATGTACAAGTTATGCCACCATATTACAGATGCACGATTCTGGCTCAAATGGCTGTGCAACTCTAACACGTCATTCCTAAGAGTCCCCGTGCTGTGCAGAATCGTGCAATCAAAGCCACAGGGCTTACGGGCAAATGGGGCCAGGGCCCACCTCAGCCTTGTCAGGGCACGTGGAAGGAAGACAGGCGCTGATGCAGATGGTGGCGCGGTGCCCACGTGCTCACTGGTTAAGCGATCCCCAGGAGCTACCTCGAGAAGGCCTGAGGTTGCTGTGGAGGTGGGGTCGGAGGGCTGCAGTGTGAGTTTCCACGAACGGTGGAGGGAGGGTTGTTTGGGACCAGGCAGGAAGGTGCACCCCGGGTGGGTGGGTGTCTGAGGTGTGTGCATGCTTTATGCATTCATGCGCTTGGCACAGAGGGGTACATCCACCTAGTGTTTCTTGTGAAATTTGCATTGTGCTTAAACTGTTCCCTAACACATCAATTGTGCTGGAGAAACTCCGTTTCAAAGTGTGAGGGCAGAGCTGGCTGTGTTAAGGGTGGGTATGGTCAGAGGTCCAGGGGAACACTGGCTGGTCAGAGACACACAGGCCTGCCCCGCCAACCAGTAGAGTTGCTTCTTTCCTTGTTTACTTCTTACCTTCTGTTCTTACGGGGTTTGGGGCAACCATTTGTGAAGGAAAGAGGTGGCAGAGTAAGAGGAGCAATAGAAGGAAGAGGAAGACAGAAAAAGACCAGAGGTCGTCACAAGACAAGGCTCCCTGCCACTATGAGGGGCAGAGCAGGGGCGTGCTGACATAGTACTGCACGTTTTTTTCATGTCCTGGTTTGGGGCCACAAGAGGAAGACTGGAGAATGGAGGTGCCGGGGGGAAGGCCAGTGGGCAGGCCTGGACAGCAGTGGTCAGAGAAAGGGACCCAGGTGTGCATCTCCCCCCACCGTGGAGTGGCCAGCCCCTGGCCAGGGACGAGGCCCGGAGAGCGACAGGCCCTGTGGCCTGGGAGTCACACTGAAGCCCCGGAGTTTGTCAAACACGTCCCACTCGGCAGGGTGACCACTGGTACTTTGGAAATACCTCAGACGGTGTGACAGCAGCGTTGCCCGTCTGGTCAGGTCCGCCCTGGGGAGGCCGGAGAGAACCACGCTTCTCCTGGTCAGAAGCAGCTCTGGGCAGTGGAGGATCTGGGGACCCCTCCAGGAGTCCGTGGGGCTGAGAGAACTGCTCAGCCTTGGCTGAAGATTCCCGAAAGCATTCAAACTCCCCCCAGGTACTGCTGTGCTCCCCTGGGTCGGGACAGCTGCCGGTGCAGGCAGAGGAGCCCTCGCTGGGCCTGGGGAGCCTGTCCAGCCGAGGCCGGTCCCAGTGGAGCCTCGTCCCTTCCAGCCTGCCATTGCTCAGTGTCCCGGGGGCCTCATGGACGGAAAGCTCACCTGCTCCCCCTTCGAGGTGACTCCCAGGACCGAGGAAAGGATGCCCGTGGCCAGGCGCCCCCCCTAGCTGCCGCAGGTCTTGCATCTTGGTGCCACCAGGCGGGCAGAGACCCGACGAAGAAGCGCTCAGGAGACGTACACGCTACTGTGCTGCAGCTGCCCGAGGCGGCCACATCCTCGCCCTGTGTGCTGGGCAGGGCCTGGAGGGGCCCTGGTGGCCCAACTAGGGGCGGCCATGCCCACGTTGCCTAGAGGCTGAGGGTGGCGTCCTAGGCCCCGCTGCCCCGGGGAGCGCGGCCTCTGGCTTCCTTCTGAGCTAGCAGATGAGGCGCCCAGCACAGGGGCGGGATCCAGAGACCAAACAGGGCGGAGGAGGAGCACGGGTCGGGTAGGGACGTGACCTGGACCAGCTCCTGGGGGCTCGCCGGGAGCGAGGAGAGGGGCTGGGGTCCACTCTGGCCAGAGGGGAGGCTCCAGGAGCCCAGAAGGGTCTCCCGAGAGCGGGGTTTAGGGGCGCTAACAGGCGGGGTGCCCTTAGGCTAGCTGTCGGGGGGCGGGTGGAAGGGTAGTCTAAGCAGCAGGCCGGCCCCCGAAGGCACCCCTGGGCGGGCCGGCGAGGCTCCTCCGGGACGGTCTGAGGGGCCGGCTCCAAGCGGGGAGGGTACCGGCGTCCCGAAGCCGGGCTCTGCACCCACCTTCGCCGCCGCTACCGGGCGAGGAGGGTCGAGGCGGCACAGCGGACGCAAAAGGAAAACCCCATCGCCTCCAGTCGCGCGACCCGTTGCCCAGCAACCGCGCGCCAGCCCCGCTTCCGACGTCAACCGTTTCTTCCGCCCCCGCCGCCTGACGTCAGCACGCCTTCGCCGTGGGGCGGGGCCAACTCCAGGCCGCGCCTCCGGCCGCCCGGCCCCGCGCGTTGCTTCTCCAGGCTTTCCCGGCACCTGGAGGGTGGAGTCCGAGCACGCAGACCCCGGACCCGGGACCCCAACCCTGGACCCCGACCCCGAGACCCTGATTCCGACACCGGACCCCGACACCCCGACCCTGAGAACTCGACCTCGGACCTCGACCCCAAGACCCTGATTCTGTCCCCGAGACCCCGACCCCGGACCCCGAGTTCCGGTTCCGACCTCGAAACCCCGAGCCCGAGCTCGGCCCCCCGCATCCTCCACCTCTGCGCGCCCTCATGAGCGCGCTTCTTCGAGCGGCTCGTGTTGCATCGTTAGCAGCCCCTAGTGCTCCTGTGTCCCCCACCCATCACCCTGGTTGGGGCATGGGCCCCTCTGCGGCACTCCCCACCGCCCCAGCAGGATAGAGCCTCAGCCCGCGCCTGCGTCCACCTCATCCTGGGACATTGCCCGCACGGCTAGTGCGCAGCCACTCCCTCTGCGTCTGGGTCCGGCTGCGGCCTGGAGCAGCCTTCCCACCCTGCCTGCCAACTCGCTTTAGAACCACTTCCTGGGCCTCTGAAGGCTGCCAGCCTGGCCGCCCATCCTGCACCGATGCAGCAGGGACCCAGTGCAGCTGTGTGATGCTTTCTCCACTGGACTGGATGCCCTGGAGCACACCCAGCCCCTAGTCTGCTGCCTGTAGGGCAGGGGGCATCTCCTCCCTCCTAGAGGTGCAGGGCCCTGATTCCAGGACGGTCATCAGCAGACCCCGGTGCAGGGCAGGGACAACTGCTCCCTCCAGGGCCGTCTACCTGCAGCTCCCCCCCCCACCCGCCCCGTGGTCACTAATGAGTGAGCCTGGCCCCTCTGCCAGCCCCCCAGGCATTCCAGGCCCTTCCTCCGCACCGAGTCTCTTGAAGCTGACCGGGATGTGTAAGCCCGATTTGCCTCCCCCAGCCCGGTTTCCCAGACTGGGGCGTCTCTGGGCAGGTGAAGGCCAGGCCCCGCTGCAGCCTCATCTGCCCCAGCCTCCCTGCATATGGATCCTTCCACCCGCCTTCCTCCCAGGACTGTAGCTGGGCCCCGCCCTGCTTCCATGACTCACCTGCTCCCCCCCCTTCCTTCTCAGTCAAGCCACCCACAAATTTAATTTAAAAAATTGCACAATGAGATCACTCTCTGGACTCTGACCTGAAGCCTCCTGCCCCCACCTCGCTTTGTGAGAGGCAGACAGCTGGGTAATAACAGGGTATAGGCAGGTTCTGCTGTCCCATGCCGCCACCGTGTGACCTGAGTCTGCTGTTAGATGGAGGGACAGCTCGTGTTGGGAGGGGTCAGTGAGAAGTGTTGACTACCTGTCCCCTGCAGGTGGGTGGATGGTCCAAATCTCTGAGTGACACGTTATGGCTAAGGGCTGGAGGTCACAAAGGAATCCCAGACCATTGTGGCCCCCTCTGGCTGGCCAGAGCTCCTCCTCCTCCATCCAGCCACCCTGGCCCACACAACCAGGCGGGGCGAGGTGGGGACTCTGTAAGCCCTGCTGGATGGTGACCAGCCACTGACTCTGCCTGGCTCAGTCCCTGGCTTCAGCTTGCCCCTCTGTCACCAGGGTGCAGGTCAGCCCTGCAGCCGTCCGCCACTGGCACCCCCCCCACACCTTGGACCCCTCTTCTACTGCCCTGGCCATCCTCCAAGACCAGGGAGCTGGAAAGGAGTAAGGGGGGTGTTGTCCTCATGTTCAAGTGTGGGCAACTAACTGCGGCTCACATCCACAGGCCTGCATCTGAAGCAGAGCTGGGGCTGGGACCAGCTCTCCATGCAGCAATCCCCTTCCTCCCACCCCCCGCCCCTCCCCAGGCCTGGGCTTCCCACGGGAAGGGTGAGAGGTACTGTGACCTCAGGGTGGAATTTTCCAGGAACAAGGCAGCTGCCATGGGCTTCATTCAGCTCTTGGCCCCAGGCAAGGCAGGGTTGTCAGCTTAATAATGGCCCCAAAGATGTCCCGTCCTAATCCTCAGAACCCATGCCTGTGTCCTTACATGGCAAAGGGGCTCTGCAGGTGTGGCTCAGCCAAGGGTCTTGGGTGGAAGATGGTCTTGCGCTTCCTGAAGGACGCCGTTTGCTGCCTGCAGGCGTGGAGGAGTCCCCTCCCTCCCCGAGGTGCAGCGCCCTGATTCCAGGCTGGTCACCAGTAGACGCCGCTGGGACTGATGTAGTCACAGGGGTCCTTAGAAGAGGAAGGTGGTGGGGGGCTGAGTCGAAGGAGGAGATGTGAGGAGGGAGGCAGAGGTGGGAGGGATGCAGGCGTGAGCCAAGGGAAGCGGGCGCCCTCTGAGAAGGGCGAGGAAGGCACCCTCCCTTGGAGGAACCACCCAGGACTGGAAGAGGATGCCCGGGTGTTGTTTTGAACCACTAGGTCTGGGTGCAAAGCTGCTGGCTCAGGTCGGGCAGGGACGATGGGAAGCTATTTTTGCTTATGCTGCGGCCACTGCTGCAGGAGCCATCAATCATTGATGCTCTGGGTGTCCTGGCTTGCCGAGAGGCGGAGGGCAGCCAGTGGGCCGGTGGGGCAGGGGAGGCTCTGCCGGCAGCCTCGGGCCCCTCCCCCAGGCCCTGCGGGCAAGCCTGAGACCCCGTTCCAGTTAGGACCCGCGCAGGCCAGGATCCCAAGCTCGCCAGATGTCCTGTCATGGCGGCCCCAGGGAGGGGCCAGCAGGAGAAAGCTTGAGGCCCTGAAGAGCGGTCTGCAGGCCCCACCTATGGGGTGACACTTAGGTGGGGCCCTGTGTGCCTGGGGGTGGCTGTGAGCTGGGCCCATGTCCCCACTCGGCGAGGGAGCAGCAATTGCTGAGTCGGGCGCAGTGCCACGCCTGACCAGTCTGGCATCCTCCCAAGGGGTCTGAGGAGCCGGGAGTGATGACGGGAAAGGAGGGCCCTGCAGGCTCGCCAGCAGCTCAGGGCTCTGGTGGTGGCGGTGGAAGCGGTGGGGGGGGGGGGGCAGGACCAGGTGGAGGAGGAGGGCACAGCTGGCTGTACAGGCCCCACACCCTGGGGTCACGGGTGGGCAGTCAGGGGCCCTGGCAGGCGGGGGAGGGATCCTGGCTGAACCCTTGAGTGAGGCCTACCCCCCAGGATGGCTGGGTGGGAGACAGGTCTCAGGGAGAGTCAACGATGGGGTGAGGGAGTTTCTAACCATACGGCCAGGGACGTATTGCCCAAGGAACCAAGCCCCCCAGAAATGACAGGAGTGAGATGAGCCCACGGCACCCCGAAGCACCTGGGGGTGAGCACAGCAGGTGGAGGTGGGGAGCTCCCCGTAAGGGGTGTGGCCTAGGAAGACACCCCAAGGGGTCTATTGCTCCCCTAACCTAGGGGAGAACCCCTAGGAGGGTGGTGGTGGGTGTGGCCCTCAAGGCACGGTCCCCAGCTCTCCCAGACAGCCTCTGCCGAGATGGGGGCGAGGGCCCTGGCTGCTTTGCTGCGCTGCCTCCCCCTCCCCACCCCCGCCCCCGTCCTGGCTGGCCCGAGGGCATTGGCTCAGAGGCCTCAGGGGACCAACTGCTGCACGGGCGCTGGGCGAGGGCAGGGGCTGTCCCCTCCTTCAGTGGCCACCTGAGACCACCTCCTCATGGCCTCCAGCTGAGGTAGGGTAGCCAGCCAGTCTGCCCCTCACAGGTGTGTCCAGGGGTCAAAGGACTCCAGAGAGAGCACCAGGCTCTGTCCCCAGTAAGCTTTGCAGCTGTGGTGGCTGTGGCCGTGTTCCTGCTGAGGTGGGCGGGGGCTCATGGAGGGGCTCCTGGGGGCAGGGGCAGGGCTTTCCAGGCAGAAGGACATGCCGGATGCAGGGACAGCAAGGACCAGGCCTGTGGTGGACGCTCCCCTATCACCAGGCACCTCCCTGGCTGGCCCCCTCCTTTCTCACCACAAGCAGAGCAGGTGTCAGGACCCCCATCTACAGAGGAGGAATCCGAGGCTGGGGGGACCTGCCCAGGGCCCAGACTGGGGGTTTGGAGACTCAGGGGCCAGCCCTGGGCCCGGCCCCACAGGACCCAGCTGGAGGGTGGCCCCGTAGAGGACAGAGACCACAGTGACCACAGCCCCTCACCCTGGGATCACTGAGGCCAGGCTCTGGGGACATTTCTGGGGGGTGGGGTGGGCAGCCCAAGGGACACCCTCAGAGAGGGTGTCTGCCATC